TACACAGGCATTTCCTCTTCCCTCTGTGTCTCTCAGGGTGACTTATTCAAATACAACTTACACATCACTCCTGTCACATCATCTTTTTTTTTTTTCACAGATTGCAAGGACCTTGTCAGTTTACAATCCCTTATTATTTTTATTTTTTATGCCTACGGCGCCTGGTCTCCTATCTAAGTACTAACCCTTGCTTAGCTTCCAAGATCAGGTCGGATCCGTCTTGTTCAGGATAGCATGGCGGTAGACACATCATCTTTTATTTTTCTCTTGGCATTTTTGAAAATACGAGATTATCCTGTTATTTGCTTTATTTTATTCTCTTCACCCCACCCCGCCCCTGTCCCCTCCGCGACGCTGGACTGTTTACTCCACAGCCTTTAGAACTTTGTAGTTGTGCCTGACTCCTGGAACAGTGGCAAGCACAACATAGGCTCGCCATACTTCTCAAATAAATAAATGGTCCCTATTACACGGATGAGAAGACTGAGGACAGTGCGAAGCTTGTCCCTGGTTTTTCAGGAGCCGGGGAGTTCTGGTCCAGGAGCCGCAGTCTCCCTCCCAGAATAATGCGGCTCCGGAAGTCGCTCCTCCCGAGTGCAGCCTGCACGACCCCGGGAGTACGCGACTGGCGCTGAACAGCGCATATTTTTAGCCGAGACAGAACACCCCGGGGCAGCACACAGCCCCCACGCGCCGCTCGGTCCCATGTGGCGCTTCTCCAGTCTCGGTGTCCTCGCTAGAGCGGGCCTCCGCTCTCCAGCCATGGTAGCAGCTGCCTCCAAGCCCGGGCCCGGTGCGCCCTCTCCCGGCTGTTCCCCAGGGCTGGTGGCCCGGGCTTCCTCGCTGTCTTTCCTCTGGCTGCCCTGCTCATCTCACCCCTCAAAACGTTTTGGAGTTGAAAATTCTGTTTTCCAGGGTTTCAGGTACAATGGACAGAAAAAGAAAAGATGAGAAAACAACTAAATCACTAGGCGAGGCGATTAAGGATTCAGAATTTACCACCCTCCTTAGACTGTGAAGACCGATTTACCTGTGCCCAGCCCTGAGCTCAAGGGATGCCAGAAGCAAGAGACCAAGGCTGGAGGAAGACTAGCAAGATAGCTCACAGTGTAACCCCGGCAACAAAAGAATCTCATGGAAGGTAGGGGTGAAGCTCAGGTGTAGACTGCTTAACTATAAAGTTAGCAGGTGAGGTGAAAGGAAGTTCATGGGAAGAGTGAGTCCTGTTTGTAATCAGATTAAAAATTGGTCAGACAACCAGGGATGGGAGTGCCACGGGGAAAAGTAACTTTGGCCAGCGACTCGGGGGCATGAAACAACACTTACGTGTACATACAGGTTACATAGTCTTTATCCCCATAAATAAGAATTAGCAGATGACAGACAAAATTAATTTCCCTGTTCAATTGAAGGGTTTGTGCATGTAATTTTTTGGTTATTTAAGTATTTTTATGTTCTATAGATAACAAGGGCTCCAAACATTCTAACAAAAAGGCTTCTTCCTTTTTCTGTCACTGTACCATTGGTTCCTGCCCACCTGAAGTTGTCTCGCTTGTTCTCTGTTTTGTTTAAAAAACAACAAAAATCCTGCCTCCCTAACTATTGCCCTGTATATCTCCATCAATTTAACACCAAAACTCCTGAAAGCAAGTTTTACTGTCTCTACCTCCCCATCTGTCTTTCACACCTCACCAGTTCAAATCCAAATCCAGTTTCTGCCTCACCACTCCACTGAAATTGCTTCAGCAATGGTCTACAGTCCCTTCTTAATTGAAACATTCAGTGAATGGTTTTTGGTTCTCTTTCGACTCCATCCAGACAAGTGTTCCTGTAGTAGCTTCCACTGCCCAACCTTCCCCTGTACCTTCATCTCTCTCCTTTTATGGCTTGTCCTCCCCCACCAGCCTCAATCTTTCTTGAACTGTCTTCTCTGACCTGCCTTCTGTAGGTCATTCGATCCCTTCCCCTGCTTTTGGTGACTACTTGCTACTGATGGCTCTTAAACCTGAGTCTCTAGCGCTGAGTCCTTCCCACCAGAATGAGCCAAGCACTCTCTAGCCAGTTGCTCCTCAGACTTCTAAAACTTAACAAGCCCATATCTCAGTTTCTCTTTTTCCTCCCTCCTACCCACTCCTTGCTGAGTTATGTCACCACATATCCAATGCCCATTCCTCATTTATAGAACAATTTCTCCTGGATGCTTAGGCTTAGCACAGCAAAGGTGAAGATTTGTGGTATCAAACTGAGATAATATTTGAAAGATTTAAAAGGTAGTGTCACCTCTGTCCCCTAGTACCAAATACTCCCAGCAACTTTCTCCTTCAACTTTCTTGTTGCAGCCCAAATCAGAGTTTACTTTTTCTCTTTTCTAATACCCACTCTCTTATTTCTCAACTGCTATAGAGTGTTTCATACCTGTAGCCTCCATCTTCTCTTCAGCTGTTGTTGCCTCTGTCCTTCCCTCTTTTCAGGCTCTGCTAGCACTCCGCGAAATCCTTGACCTTCTCTCCACTCTCTGCTTCCTTGTCCTGTCTACTATATCTGATATTTCTTACCATCTCCTTGAAATCTCCTCCTTGTTTTTATTTTTTAGCATAATAGCAGTAAGAATTAATGTTTATTGAGCACTTACTATGTGTCACACACTGTGCTAAGCACTTTAGATGTCTTCAGTCATTTTGTCCCTACAATAACCCTGGGAAGTGGATATTATGGTAATTATCCCCATTTTTCAGGTAAAGAAACTGAAGTATAGTGAAGTGAAGCAACCAGCTTAAAGTCATAACTGCTGTGGAACAAGCTAAGCTGGGATTCAAATCCAGATAAGCCCAACTCCAGAGCCCAAATTCTAAGTCATTGCCTGTGCTGAGACTACATTTTCCCATCTTCCTCAACAGTCTTTTGGTCTCATATCCTTGTTAGTTCTTTCCATATGTCAGGCTTTTCCTTCCAAACTTAACATCTTGAAAGACTGTCTGCATTACCCAGGCTCTGCTCCTTTCCTTGGCCTGGCATTCAGGAAACACCTATCTGTTGTATTAGTTCAACAGACACTTTTTTGCCCTTGTTTTTCTGTCTATGTTGCAGATCCAACTGGAGACCATTTCCTTCTCAAACTTCTTCATGGGCTCCTCAGTCTTTTACTTAATCTTTCCTGAAGGTCAGGACTTCCCAGTTCTTCTGATTCTATAACCTCTCCTATGGAAAGCTCATCCTTTCCTACCTGTTATGGACAGAATTGTGTCTTCTAAGAATATGTTATTGAAGTCCTAACCCCTGGCACCTGTGAATGTAACCTTATTTGGAAATAGGATCTTTGCAGCTGTAATTGAGTTAAGATGAGGTCATTAGGGTAGGCCCTAATCCAATATGACTGGTATCCTTATAAGAGGAAAGTAGAGCTGACACAGAGGGTGACACAGGCTTGACTGCATCTGCTGGGGTTTCCTGGTGGGTAGGGGTGACTGCCAGAGGTGGCCCAACAGTACTAGTTCTTTGGTGTCAGGCTGCTTGAAAGTGGGTAGGGAAGGAGCAGGGGGCAAGAGAGGAGGGAACAGGATAGAGAAGGGAAGGGTAGAAAAGAGAGGGGAAAGGAAGGAGAGGGGGAGGTGGCTCCACAGTAGACAGTCCAAGGTCTTCACCTCCTGGGCTGTGGGCTGCCTGGGTCCAGGGGGCTGCTGCCTTCGGCGCTGGAAGTAGGGGCGGTTTCTTGGGCGCTGGGGCTCAGGCCGGGAACCATCAGTGGGACCTTGGCTGGGCTTGGTCTCGCCATCCCCACCTTCTGTGGTAGGCTGCTGGGGTGGCCTGGGGCGGAAAGGCCTGGGAAGAGAAGTGGGGACCCTGAAGAGAGCAGAGGGCCAGTGCAGACCACCTCCCATCCTCCCAGGACTCCCCAAGCAGAGGTGGACCCGCCAGCTTCTCCGTCCCCAGGAGCCAAATCCCTAGGGGGCCTGCTTCCCCAGGACACCTATGTAGTAATCTTTTAGCTACCCAGCCCTCTTCACCAGTAGCTTCAGGCTTGAGAACTTAGCTCTTCCCCTTCACATCCTCCCGACTCCTCCTGTACTCCTACGCTCCCCCACCCCTATCCAATACTAGATGGTGAAGGGGAAGATAGGGTCTGGAAAAGGAGTCTTACCTTCGGTACCTAGGCCGGAATCTGGGTGGGGGGACCCGCTCATCTCCCTGCTGTTGGTCCCCCTCCAATGGGGCTGTCTCTTTAGATTCTACCCCATCAGTGCCCTGGGAATATAGAGAGGCCTTGGTGAGCTGCGGTAACAGCAGCTGCCCAGGACTCAGGTGTCCAGAGCTCTTCTCAACCCTTGGTTCCACTTCCCCTAGGGACTTTGTGCTCTCTCTCCTCAGGAACTCCCACTTGGGTATTTGGTTCCACATTCCCAGTTCTCCTCACCTCTATAGGTTGCTGCTGGTTGGGGGGCCTTGGGCCTCGCACAAAGCGACGGCGGTAGAAGAAGGGTGGTGGGCGCCGTCGTCTGGGCCTCTGCCCAGGGTCTTCAGCTCGTTCCCCTTCACTGCCTGGTTCTGTCCCACCTGATGGGGCCTCTGCCACCATAGGTGGTGGGGCAGCTGGGCGAGGCCGGGGGATGAATCGGCGGAACCTACGTCGATTGGGGGCATAGCGGCTGCCCTTCACTGGCACCCCTCCGGGCCCAGTTACATTAGCAGCTTCTGCACCCTAGAAAGGAGGTAGGGAGAACTTGCTCCAATAGCAAATGCACAATGTTCCCCAAATGGCTCAAATCATTAGTCTCCCCCTTCTTCCACCTAAATGCCTTCTCCAGTTTCCCTTCAGCCCCTCTAACTTCTTCCTACTCTCCCCTAGTGAGGCAATGGCATATTTGGATCCTTCTAGGAGGGGCCACCTCTGCGACTTGTCTTTTTGAAATAGCTGTTACTGGATCCTCTTGAATTTAAGACTGGAGATGGCTGTGTGAATGGAAAAAGGTTTGGCAGCAACTATCCACCTTACTACAGAGGTCTGACTCTAAGAGAGCATGAGGACAGAGACCCACGTAGAGAACAGACATAGAAGTGCTTGTGAACTTCCAAAAAAAAGCCCATATATCACTCAGTAAGAGATAACTAGGACATGTTCTTTAGGACATCTCTTAGAGCAGCCAATGTTAAAGACAACAATGTCTGGTTGAGTACACAGCTTGAGCTAACGAGCCAGAGGAAGAGCTAGCCTCAGGAGGACCAAAGCCTGGGATGACTCCAGGCCACCCTCCCACCAGCCTGGTCAACTCTATATCCCACCGCGGCCCCCAAACCTTCTCTCCTTCCACGACATCAAACTCCACAGTCTCCCCATCTCCAACGCTGCGCAGAAACTTCCTGGGGTTGTTTCTTTTAATAGCTGTCTGGTTAGGGGAAAGGCCATGAAAAAGGTGAAAATAGCAAGCCCAGAGTCTCTTTCCCCCTTGCTGGGCCCACCACCCAATTTCATTCTTTTCACCACTCTACTTGTGGGTGGGGCTGGAGGGTGGAGCAAAGAGAAGATAGTCAAAGTTTAGTAAGGGAAAAGCCATAAACTAGGAGCCTCCAGAACTACTGTGCAGCTACCACTGTCCCAGGACACACTCCCTCCCTTTACCCCGCAGGGATTTCAAAGAGGCAAGAAACATGAACTCAAAAGCAAAACAAGAAGCAGAGACAGTCTTAAGTTGCAAAATGGGTAAAATATACTGTGCTTCTTACCTCAATCCCACTGAGAGCTCTTTCCACCAAAGCAGTGGTTCTCAAACTGTGGCGTGCATCAGAATCACCTGGAGAGCTTGTTAAAACAGATTGCCAACCCCTCTGCCAAGTCTGATTGATTCAGGAAGTTTGGGGTGGGGCCTGAGAATCTAGATGTCAGGTGATGCTACTGCTAGTGCAGGGACCACACTTTGAGAACCACTGCACCCAAGTATCTCTAGCCTGTGTCTCTGATCATTGCCTGTGATTCACTCCTGTGGTGTCAACAGGTCCCAGTAGGTAGTGAGCATGCCATGCCCAGAAGGCAGCACATATATTTTTTAGAGACAACCTAACACAAGTGAGGCCAATGGCAGTTAATTTAGACACCTGATGCAGATGAGGAGGGAAACTATTTCCTGCTGGGCATCTCATGGTGAGGTAAAAGCTGGAGAAGCATGACTTTGCTGTAAGGATTATGGTATAGGCCTTCAAAGAGAGGGCAAGTTTCTCCCCTCAGAAAGCCAACCTAGCTCTTACCTGGTGAACAAAGACATCCTCCTTGGTGTCATTCCTGCAGAACAGGATGGGTCATTAGGGGGTGACTTTGGTGAGATTCTCACCTCCCTTAAGGCCTCCCTAGCTGCCCATTCCTAAATCGGTGGGCCTATCTTCTCCAGCCTTCCATGGCTGCTTGAGGATAGACAGGGCCCCCAGAAGTTGGTATGAAAAGAAGTATAACTAAAAGCTCAGTGGAAAATCTGGGCTTTATAAGGAAAGGGTGGAGTGGAAAGGCAAATTTACCTTGCAGGAACTGAGCACTCCACCCTCTACCCCTTAGAAACTGGTAGTGCTTGGTGTAACTGTTCCTAGGTCAACACCCTCTTCACCAACCCCCATCGTCGTTAGAAAATTTCGTTCATCTCCTTCTACAATCAAGGAGCAAGAAAGTGGGGATGGGGGAGAGGTGCAGAACAAGTTTGAGACGGGGACAATGTGTCAAGAACTTGCTCTAAACAGCCCCCAAACTTTATTCTCAGCCTCAGCCTGGAAGTGAACTCTAGGGTGAGGCTCCCTTTCAACACACTAAGGGACCAAGGGTAAGACAGATATTCCATCATTATCACTACTTGCCTATTACCTGAGTTTATCCTAGCACCCCAATGCAGAGGAGGGGAGAAGTTTTCCTTCAGAACCTCCCAGGAGTCCTCAGTTTCCAGAATTAGAGAGGGGCCCTTCCCTAGAACAAATGTTCTAGCTTTAAAGCACTTGGATCTGCACAAAGGTCAGCCTGCTAAGAGGGAACTAGGGCCTCCTAGAAGGGCTGGGCTGGGCAGGGTGCCCAGGCTGAGGAAAGGCCCACAGAGGGAGACCTGGCTCTGCTCAGAATCTACCACTAGGGCCCCTCCCAGTACTGGCAGGGGGTTGGATTGCCAAAGAGAAGGAAAGCAGCAGCCTGTGTCTAGGCAGGCTCCTTCCCCAACCCCCACCAGCCTCAGTCCCATCAGGTGGGGGATTTGAATGAGCCAACAGCTCTCTAAGGCAGATGAGTTATCAGAGTGCTATGTGTGTTGCCTGAAACAGGAAATTAGCGTGGTCTGGAGCCCTAGGTGCAGAAAGCAGGTACATTCTGCCCCAAGTGGGGTAAACTAAACCAGAAGGTGAGACACACAAGCTGGAAGGATCAGAGCCAGGTTTGCCAACTTCCTAGATTGTTAACCCTCTGCTGCCCTTGAAGATGAGACTTCACCTTGCCCACAGTTGTGCTGCAAGACTTTCAATCAGCATCAGCTGGACATTGCAACCATGTGCCTTGAGATGAGGCTGGGAAGGTGTCCAGTCCCACAGGCCAGTTTGGAAGACACACATTACACCCCCTCCCTGGGTTCCTTGGATACCTGTTGATGAATCCATAACCATTCCGGACGTTGAACCATTTGACAGTGCCCAGGACTTGGATTGCTGCCAGGCAGAGATGCAGTGGGGTCAGTGAGATGGGGGTAAGAGATGGAGTTGGACTCAGTTTTGAGACACTCCAAAATCTAACCTACCTCCCTATTACCTAGTAAACTTAACTTTAAATAGAAGTGCTCACACAGTGAGGCTCAGGCTTTCAAAACCCTTCAACTCTAAGGCATGTTCCTCATAGCCTATAAACCACCTAGAACCTGGTACTCACCTGATCCACAAAGTCCCATCCTCAGGTCATACCTGAGAGTTTTTCTAGCCCTCTTAATATAAAGGTCCCTAGTGTACCTGCTTCCTGGGCTTAGAGATTGACCTAGTACTAACTCAAGTTAACTAAGCCAAGTCTCCCACTCCAGGAGGCTTGGCCAGACTTTGAGATTTATCCTCCTTCCCAAGGCCCTAGCTAGACCTGCCGACCACGCCCTCCTGCCCAGGAAGGCGCAGCAGCACTTCCCACCAGGAGAACCTAGCCATCTCCAGCCCAGCTAGTCCTTTGAGTCTACAGGTCAGGCCTGCCTTTGGCTTTCCGGACCCCACCAAGCTCCACGATGCCCCTCCCCCAGCCCGCCGACTCCTTAGAACCGCCCTGGCACGCGCCTTCCCCTCACCCAGCACCGGCTTGTCCGCCTGACTCCGGGCTGGGGGCGCGGGGGTCCCCGAGGCCGCCGTCACCGGGTTGCCAGGGGTGCGA